CAGATTTTATTTTTTATATATATAAAGAGGCCAATTTGAAAATTTAGCTAATATTTATATATAAAGTGGCCAAATTTAAATATAAAAATAAAATTAATAGTTTAAAGAGGCCAAATTTGCTTTTTTTTATATATATAAAAGGTGGCCAAATTTCATATTTAATTATAAAAATACTAACTTGCTATAACTTTTTTATAAATAGATTTAAAAAAATTTAAGAACTTGGGAGTGTTTAGCTTGTTTTTATTTAACATTTTAGGATTAGCAATTTGAATTACATCAATTTTATTGGTCGGGACTAGGTTGTCTGCACTATAGTATTTTTAAATATTTTATATTTTTTTACATTCAATAGAATTATTGTATTTTGTTTTTCTCCCTCCTCTTACGATATTTCATATATGTTAAAGAATTAATTTAAATATACCTAGAGCTAGTATACGTACGTACGTATTCAGAAATTCTAGAATTATTATTATATTATAAATAAATAAAAATAACGCCAAATCGCTAGTCACACATCCCAGTATTTTGAAAATTTGAAAAAAAATATATATATTATTGTGTAATGCTATTGTGGCCATTATATTGTTGATCAATTATCTTATATATAGGTGCCCTATCCCATACCAAAATCTCCACAAATTGACCTCGTGTATCACATATTTTTTATTATAATTCAAATCAGCCGTCCCCTGAGTTGGATCTCTAAAAATGGCGACGAGGCAAGCTATCCAGAACTCTTACTTTAAAACACTTCAGTAATTTCTTAATATTGACATTACTAAACTTCGAATTTAAGATTGGACCGTCTAGTCCTTCTCTTGGACACCGGTTCCACACCTGCAGTTCGAGCAACTGCTGCGCAGCAATTAGGAGAAATTCAAAAGCAACACCCTGGAGAACTGCATAACTTGTTATCAAGGGTATTGTAAAATCTTTTTCTTTGAAATAAACGCCTTTAATAATTTCTTTTTAAAATTTTATCGTATGATTAATTGGAGAGATCTTTGCTTATGCGCAAATCAGGTTGTCATTCACTTAAGCAATAAAGAATGGGATACTCGGATTGCTGCGGGGCTAGCAATTGAAGCTATTGCAAAAAATGTGCCACAGTGGGATCCTCCAGAGAGTATGCAAGATTATGATCTGCTTTTTTTTAAAAAATTTTTTCTTGATTAATTCGTGTAACTAAAATGGTTTACCCTTTTCTTTAATACTGCAGCTGTTAAAATTGAAAACGAAATATCTGTTAAAAATGAGTCAAATGATAATAAATATTCCTTTGAAAATTTTGACATTTCGAATGTATTACAAAATGGAAAAACATTATTAGGTTCGGCCGGAAAAGTATGTGTCACATATTTTATTCTAAAATGACAATTGCATGGTCTTTGGTTTTTATGGTACATAGTTGCCTCATAATCCTAATTGTCGCATTGTAAATTAATTTTGTGCGTTAGGAATACGATCTTGATTTAAGCGAGCTTGATCCTGCTCAAAGACTCGCATTACAACATAAAAATCTCAGAGAAAGATTAGGATTAGGTGGAGAATTTATGGACGGTAAGTGAGAAGGCTTCAGAAACTAAGAGAAATTTCTGTGTTATCATATATCGATAAGGGAATATTTCTTGCAGTCGATTTATTGGATGATGTTGACATAAGTGGGGCGACTACATCACAAAATACACAAATC